TATTATAACGTCATTTCCAAATTACGTCACATTATGCAGAACAGATCCATTTGAATGTCATAGTGTCTGTACACTTTTAGAGATTATCATAATTTTCCTTTGTTTTTCACTAAAAAATAGCATTACATGTCGTACTTATATGTACGAAAGTCCAGAAGGCTCATTCGAGATTCGAGTTTCGAAATACGAGATTCGAAATTCGAGTTTCGAGATTCAAGATCCAAACTAACCCATTAAAAGGCGGATTCAATATTTGATTACTCCCCTTTATTAAGTTTTCACTATCAAGAAATCACCGAATATATTTATAACAAATGGGTCATTTGCTTAAATAATAATGCAAGAAAATATGTTTTATGTATCAAAGCAAAATACAAATGAATTTTGGGTAATGTCTTGAAAAATGTTTATAAAATCTTATTTTCCTCATTAAACAAAACAATAGATACATACATAGAATATTATATGTTCCTATCGTTGAATCGCGAAATTAGTAGGTTGATAAATTATTAAATAAGAACATTTATGAAGGAGAAAATTATTATTGATAAGAAATACTAAGGATCGTATTTACACTGCACAGTAATTTAATTAAGGATCCATTTCATTACATTTAAGGGTGCATTTGTGCAGTTAGACTGATCTACTATTTGATATGGAATAAAATAAATTCCAGTCTGTATTGTATATATAATTTTTAATTAATTCAAATATTCAAAGTCTTAGACTAAGATAAGTAATTGAAAACTTAATTTTTATGTATTTCTCCTATTGGTAAACAGTGGTGTATATTCCCTTCTGCTAATGTGTAGGCTAAAGTGAAGTCACATATTTCACCTAAAGCGTATCATTGCCGAATTGCGAATGGCAAGGAGGGAGTCGCCCCCTCTCAATAGAGGGGGGGGGGGGGTCGGAGGACCACTTTCTGCGACATCTGTCATTGTCATTTTTCCAGTGTATATAATCATAAATCATTTAAACATATTTTTATGATACAGAAATTAAAATCTCTATGACCACTCTTAATAAAATTGAGAAATTTTAAAATCCTTACACAGAGCTCGGAAATTATGGAAACTTTTTTGCTGAATAATCTAAATATAATTTTTAAAATGTTTTATGTTTGACTTCCTACTAATTCAAACATACTTCCTAATTTCTATTGCCTGTCCTAATCATAGACTCCTGTTGCTGTCATTTTTTAATGGTCTGATATCGTCTTCAAGGTAACATTTCAATTTTATATTTAACCAGCTATAAAAATCAAAAATTTTATACTGTAAAAATTGAAAAGGCATAAAAGTGTGCATTGCTAAAAATACTTTTATTGCATTTGATGAAAAAATATTCTAGTAACTGTTAAATAAATAAGATTTATGATCAACTTCCCCCCATTTTTCAATCAAATACATGCATAAATAAATATTTTTTTTCATCAAGAAAATGATGTGTAGGCTACAGCCTTTTTGCCTATATGGAATATACACCATTGGGAAAGCGAACGCGATTTTTCTTTATCACTACTATATACGATGTCTTTCAAGATTTCCTGTGTACACTAAAAAGGTATTCATGAACTAAGTAATTTTAATACGTAGTCCTTTAGGCTATACGATTTTTTCAAAGTCCTAAAGGTATATAAAGGGTCCTTTGTTTTGTTAAAATAATTAATTTTTTATCATTATTAAATACTTTTATATCTTTTTTTCCTCTATGACCATTACGTCATGAATTGAAACTTGTGTATTGATTGGTTATGTATCTTGCGAGACCTGAGCGATTTCCTTATAAATAATTATCGAATATATAATTATTTTGCCCATGCATCGCAAGATTGACACTGAAAGTTGATAACCGAACATTTGTCTACCGTTGTAATAAAATAAACAACATAGCCATAGGGCCCTGGTCACGTGTCTCTCCCCCCCCCCCCCCCCCCAAATTCACTTTATATTTTTTACCGATATAATGTACTATAGAAAACATGCAACTTTATGCTTGTGTCCTTATAACGTCTAATAACCGTGATAACCCTCTGTTTTGTTTTTTTTTTTTTTGGGGGGGGGGGGGCTTTACAGTGATTTTTTTTATTATTTCCTACGGGCCTGAACAAAGAGAAATCATCATTACATGTAAGCATGTATATTTCAGCCATCCGTACTTAAGGGACTGTCTCTTGGTTTCACAAACTTGGTCACTGGTCACTTTCTAATACCTTGTCACAAACTATATCCAATTTGAAACCCATATTGGTCACTGTCACTTTCTAATACCTTGGCACAAACTATATCCACTTTGAAACCCGTATTACTAATTATAGTTATTAATCACAAGTCATTTGTTTTATTGCACGCTTAACTTTGAAACCCGTATTAGTCACTGGTTACTTTCTAATATCTTGTCGGAAACTATATCCACTTTGAAACCCGGCCTGTTTTACTATTTATTATTAATCGGTAGTCACTTGTTTAATTGCACACTAATAATTTCATCGACTACATACCCCCCCCCCTTTTGCTCTTTGAATCCGATTAACAATATTTATATTTATTATGACATTAAACCTGTAAACAAAGTAAATAATACGATATAGATATTTTTGATAAAAATTTATCATAATATTTAAAAATTTATGATATAAATTTAAGCATATTTTGCAGCCAAAAACCTAATATTTTTTCTAATTTCGTTCTTATATATATAACACTCTTTCTTGCATTGTAATATAATCAAATGACCTCTTCGGTTTGAATATATTCAACGATTTCTTGAAGGTCAAAACTTAGCAAAGGGAAGTAATTGAATCTTAAACCGCCTTTTGATTGGTTAGTTTGGATCTTGAATCTTGAAACTCGAATTTCGAATCTCGTATTTCGAAACTCGAATCTCGAATGAGCCTTCTGGGCTTTCGTATATATGTGACATCCTACATAATTATGGCATGTAAATTATCTAGTGGCTATCTAATATATAGAGGATATCTATATTGTGTAAATTGATATTCATTTTATGCAACGAGTTGAAATGGTGTATATTCGCGAGGCTTGCTGAACGAATATACACCATTTCAACGAGTTGGATAAAGCAGTTATTAAATCACACAATTATAAATGTTCTATTTATCTCATACGATTTTCGTTTTTGACAAAACTTTGAGATAACCCCTGTAAAACTGTATGAATGATTTCTTTCCAAATTGATGACGCATATATATTGATGACGTCGCACTGTTGATGTTTACACGTCGCGTCGAAAGAAAGTAAATTTGACTCTTCAATTGACACTTCATCGAAGTATACGAGCCTTTTTCTTCCTTTTAACAACATTTTTGCTCATTAACATTCATTTAATATGGCAAGAATTTTCACAAATCAAAGTTTTGATCAATTTACATCTTGAAGCAAGGAATTGTGTCAAAACCGAAAATGCTATTGATAAAGCATCCACCCGTGGATAAAGCATAGGTTTGTCTCATGGGTTATATCCTCCACACGTATGAAATAATAACGCATACATAGACCCTAGGGACACAACAGTTCTACACACCTTTCGACACAGTTGTGGATACCATAAGCAAGTTACAAAAGGGGCCCCTCTTGACTAAAGCAGACATTAAAAGTGTATATAGGCTAATATTAGTATACCCAGGGGACGTGCTATTTAGATATTCCATATTATCCCGGGGGCCCACCACATGCTTAATGTTCCTGGGTTTAGAAATAGACTCAATAAAAATTAAAATTCGAATCCCAGCTATAAAAGGTCTAGAAATCTCGCAAATCTTAGAGCTTCCCAATAAAAGTCCCTTCAGAGTATAGTAGGTAAACTAAATTACCATATTGACCCATTGAACCATATTATATTGATTTGCTATATGATAACATTGTTGATGGGTTATTGGCCCATTCATTTGACATTGATATCATTGTTAATGGGATATTGGCCCATTGTATCCATATTGCGTGGCGTTGTGCATTCCTGAACTTTACCCACTGCACATTTTAGCCCACTTGGGGTCGCCACCTATGCTATTTATTGTTAGGCAGACAACCCGGTGGCTAATCCCAAATTTGTCGTAAAATTATGTCACCGTGACCAGATACGCCAAACTTTAAATAAATATTATCAACTTCAAAAGAGCTATTTCTAATAACATCTGAGATAATAAGAATTTAAAAGTATTATGTATACCTATTTTTAAAAAATACAAAAAAAGAAAACTAGTTTGCCTTTGAAAGTCTGAACCTTTGATCTGAACAGTGCCGTTCTCTTAATTTTATTTTATGTATATATATAAGTTTTATAACCAGTGACAAAAACCTCATCTTTTTTCAATTATACCTGAGGGAGTATTTATTATGACACAGCAACCACTGTATATTCATTAATGCTGATATTAATTACCAATTACCACAAAATTTCTGTGCAGTCCGTTCTGGTTATGACATTCGTATTTCCAGCAGACGTTTTGAAATGATGCAGGTATCATATAGTGAGAAGACGAAATTTTAGTATATGAATGAAATATATGGAGACAACGAACAGTATTCAAGCTCAAAAGTCCATTAAACATTACAAAATAGGAGCAGAGCAAACACGGACCTCCAAAACATCATAGTTTGGATTAGGTGCCATGGAGGAGTGAGCATGTCATAAGAAACAGAGCAGGAATCTTAATACTTGCAATGCATGGATATTACCTGAAAAATACATCAAAAAAGAATGTTTACTCAGCTTGATTTTAGTCTTTAATCATAAAAATAATGAACAAGATTGATTTTACTCTATAATATAGGTGTAGAGTTTAAAGTACCTTAATTAAAACATAGAATAATTATTGATACTGAGTAAGAACGAAATCATATAGAAATGCTAAAACTCTTATCTGTAACAAAACTTGACTATTAATTTCCTTGTAAGTATTTCAGGATTGATGATACATTAACTGTAGTCTTGGTGCCTGATCATCATCTGAGTCTGCTTTAATGCTTCATTTTTACGTTTCAAGTGCCACCATTTTGAGTAGTATTGACCAGCCAGGGCAGACTGGGCGTACTGCCCGTTAAGGTTTGAGTAGTCACAGTTCCTGTACCACCAGGCTCCCTGTCGTACTATAGCACAATTACCATCAATCCTCTTGTCGTTGTCCTGATCCTGAGTGGTGAAATTCATACCATTGTGATACTTTAAACTGTCACCTGTAACAGAGTATAGATAACATTAATGTCCACTAATTATTTATAAGATATTTATCGATACACAGTAACCATGGTAACCGCCACTTTAATTATCATAATTCAGGTCTTTAAGAGGTAGACCTTATACCATATAATGAGTCACCTCACCAACTGATCTCTTTTATGATTTGTTGATATATAAATGATATTTTTAGCATCATGCACAGTAAGGAAAAAAAAATATCTAAAATATGATTGATCTGTGTACCGTGTATATGTTAAGTTGAATTGCTTTCCCACAATCTGGTAAAGCACTTATTTGTATTATCTAAACTCATAGTGACTAGAAACGTCTTCGTATCTGGATCAATGAGGAAAAGGATACCTCAGATGGTTACCGGATCGAGTTACTTGTTATGAATGGTGAGAGGAAAATGTTACTATCCCTGAGAAATTTTGAAATTGCACTTAGTGAAATCTGCTTTATGTTTCAATATTACTAATAGCGAACTGGAAGTGGATATTGAATATATCGTAAAGAATGATAACTAGATTGCAACAGTGAATTTTTTGCGTAAAACTACATTTGAATTCTAGTGTTAATCATTACAAACACGTAATTTTACGTAAATTCGAGATTTTAAAACGTCATGGTGTTATTTCAGATTTAAAAAAAAATAATATTTGATGATGTTTTAAAATTCAATTGTGAACAAACATATCATATTACCTTGTGTCCATTGGTATATTAAATTTATTGAAAATAAACATAATGATGAAATAGATCTGAGCTCATGGTTCGGTGGCCAGGGGCGTTTGGCAAACAATCAGAGGATTGCTGTTGTGTCTATGCATATGATATGTTTCAAATCACCTAAAAATGGGTAAAGCGTTCTATTGGAAGTCTGCTAGTGATGGTATCTCATCTAAGAGAAGTCAATGATTCTCAGAAGAGCCCTATGACTTGGGAAGAATTTAAGTTAGCTTTAAAGAATCCAATTTGTGTCGAGGGAAATAAATTTAAATTCGTAAAAATGAAAAGTTTCAATATTCTCCGTGTCTATGTATTTCAATGCGTATGCATTCTCTGCACTGTAAGCATTTATCCTTCATATACTGTCAATATATAATACCTTCATCTCACTACATTGAAGGATCCCACTACTCACCCGCTGTTCCGTTGTATCCAGATACTGTAAGTGTATATTTATTGTTTTCATCTCCGATATAAAATGTAGTGTACACAGCATAGGCATGTTCTCCGTCACAACTCTGGATATCTACACGGAGTTTTTGGTTTTTATCCATTGTGAAGGCGTGGATTACGTCATTCCCTTTATATATATATATATATATATATATATATATAGATAGATAGATAGATAGATAGATCTATCTATCTATCTATCTATCTATCTATCTATCTATCTATCTATCTATCTATCTATCTATCTATCTATCTATATTTATATAGTGAAAAGTAAATATCCAAGATAAAGTTCACATTCGAAAGGTCTTGCCCATTTTCATATGTGGCAGTGAAGGACTGAATGTTGCAATACTTCATATAGACATGAATATTTTTCTTCCCAATAAGAAACAGCATTTCCACACACGCAAAACAGGTTTCAAGGGAACAAAAGAGAATATGTGCTTTTGTTGTTTTCCTCATAAAAAAATTTTTGGTACAAAAAATCTTTAAAAGTAAGATGAGAAGTTTGGAAGAAATAAGTATTATATGTTGCATTGTTTCTGGGTATTTTCACATAATTTAAAGCGTCTTTTCTGTATGATGGATTTTATTGCTAAAGGTTATAGCGACTTAAAAAATATTGATTTAAAAAAAATATATTGATTTCAGGTTGAGAATTAAAGATATCGATATAGTAAGCTCGACATACAACAATACAAATATATGCATAATAGTTAAATTGATATAAATATGCTAGTATTTCTAAGGAAATGTTTGAAAATATTGTTCTCCAACTAACTTTGCTGGCGCGGGAATTCTAAGGAAACTTCACATCTCTCAGATTACCTTACGGCACATACACAATGTGCCATGTGTAAAGCGAGCCGCTAGAGTGATTTTAAATAAAACCTTTTATACACCTCAGAAATGTTTCTACAGCTCAGATGGATGCCAATAAATGACTATTTTATTTATAGAACTATCATCCTTGTTTTTAAAGTCCTGCATGGATTAACTCCAGATTATTTAGATGTTTTTAAATATGTACATGAAATAAACAATAGGCCTACAAGATTAAGTCAGAGCGATGTATTGTATATCCCGAGGGCAAAAAAAGAATATTATAGAAGATCTTTTAAAATATACGGCTCGCAAATATGGAATGAATTGCCAGAATTTTTAAAGAGTTATCCATCATTACAAAGTTTTAAATCAGCATATATCAGAAATTATTTCCAGTCTACAAACTGACAAAAATGTACATCTCATTGATTATGTTCAATTACATGCAAGTTTTATATTGCACGTGTAAACATTATTTTTATTAGACTAAATGTGTAATATTTATTTGTTTCTGTACATAATTTTGCTGTCTGTATGAATGTTTTCAGGACCACAATGTAAACTAGTTTTCTAAACTAATTGTGCTATCCTGCATAAATAAAAGATATTATTATTATTTATTATTATAAAGTGCCAAATATTTGTTGTATGATTAAAGGGAAAAACGTATTGAAAAATTGGCCGAGAGGGGCATGATCAGTTAGATTGTCCTCATTGAAGCAAATATCAATTTTCATCATTCTAACTATTAAGAAATGACTGAAGTAGTTTTATAATTTTTCTTAGTAATAAAATTCATCAATCTTTCTTTGAAATAAGAATAAATATTGCTGTGACTAAAACAATTAGTGACAGCTAACCCCCCCCCCCCCCCCCCCCGTTGCAATCTTCCAATCATAAATATATTTAGTACTAGTGCTATTCGTGGATGAATAATGTACATCGAAAGTAACAATATTATAAAACTAGCTTTGTACTCTGTAATTAGATATTTGATATTTTATTACTCTGTGGTAAATATAGGATCTACGACATAGATGCGAACCTTCACAGTCTTGAACCCCCACCCTCTAAACTCCGAAATATAAGCTGTTAAAGAAAATAAATATATCAGATAAAATTTAACTATCAGCACATCAGGTCAAACTTCTTATTACTTAGAATAGTGTAAAATAATTTGTGCTTCATTGCTGCCAATTTGCATAAGCTTATTCACAAAGTAAAAAAGGGGAAAGGGTGGGGGTCAGCCAAATAAAATATATAGCAAGAAAAAAAACCCCAGAGATTTAATTATCCAATTGCAAGGATTCTTCTTTATTTTTGGGATATATTAGCGGATCTATACTATTTACTCAGGCTTAAAAAACCTGAGAAGGAGCACAAAGACACTTTTGCCTCTCCCCATCTTCAAAAAGTAGTGACCGGGACAGCAGCCCCCTATAACGATACTGCTGATGTCTCTCTATCCCCATTTTTCAAAACACATTTGAATCTGTATCAGCCTAAAATCAAATACGATAGTAAATACATGGTACAGGACCTTTCACTGAATCCCGAGAGATGTGAAGATTCCTACAATTCCCGCCCCCGCGAAGTTAATTCAATAACAACATTTTCTAACTTCTTTTCTTACTTTTTTTTCTCGGAAATATTCATATATTTATATCGATATAGCCATATATTTATTTTTACAAATCGATATTACTATATTGATATCATCAAATATCTTGTTTTTAATATCAATATCTTAAAATTAATATTTTTAGGTCGATAATACTTACAACAATAAATTAATTAAGTAAGAAAAGGTACATAAAATTGTGTAAAAACATCTGAATACAATGCAGAATATGTGTATAAATAAAGATTTGTAACACTTTATATGTTGATAAGACAATAAAATACATAGAGGATATTCAATATTTGTAGATGAATATGGAATTTATTTCACGAGTGGGACAGGATTTTTTGATATTTTCACGAGTGAAATAAATTCCATATTCATCTACAAAACATTGAATTTTCTGTTTATTACATTTTTTTTTATTTTCCCTTTGCCTCTGTCTTTTCCTAACACAGTGTCATAGGCTTGACGTCATAGTTGAGCAGTTGAGACGTCATAGCTTACCAGTTGTGAGATTGAAAACATTACATAGCATAGATTTAAGCAACATATTTGGGATTTCCGAAGAAATATACAGATTTAGCTTTATCAAGATGGTTAGTTACTATCTCTATCTAATGACAGGACAGAAATTATTTTTTACTTACTTTGATATCCTTTCACACTGTGAGAGAATATCATTTTGGTATCCTTTCACACTGTGAGAGAATATCCTTTTTATTCAATAAATAAATCACAGTATTTCACTGTGGAAAATGTAATAAAAACAATGTACAAGTTACAACAAAACAAGAGTAGAGACCTTTACGCTTCCGTATATTCCCAACATATTTACCGTGAACAAACTTGATATCTCGAAAACAATCCTCCACATCATTGAATGTAACTGTGTAACAAAATGCGATTGTTTACTGAGGAATACATCACACCGTCAATATATTATCCATTACAGTTTTAACGGTTACCAGAAAATTCTGTACGCTGGTAAATATTATTTTGCTTAGCCGTCCAATTTTTAACGATAAGTGAAGTTTCAGTTCATAAATATCTACCACACGCAAGTGTTCATATTGTAGACTAGTTCTCATATATTACGCGTTTTATGAGTGCGTTGTATAATATTACCATGAATATATATATATATATATATATATATATATATATATATATATATATATATATATATATATATATATATATATATATATATATATATATATATATATATATATATATATATATATATTACCGGTCGGCAGGGATGCTTACTCCTCCATGGCACCTGATCCCACCTTTGATGTTTCTAGAGGTATGTGTTTGCTCTCCTTCCGATTTAAATTGATTTATTTGACTTTTGAACTTCATTACTGTTCGTTATCTCCATATATTATTTATCGAAAATAGTTCAATTATATATTATTGAATACAGTTTGTACATTAATAAATGGTGTTATTTCTTATTTGACCTTTTCTTTCATATTTTGGATATCAAAAAAGTAATCATATTTAATAATAATAATAATAATTTATTTTTTTTTTTTTACACCAAGCAAGGTAGGAAGTATCCTTGTAGATTAAAAAAAAAAGAAATAATAAGTTGGATCCAGTGATGTGAATTTGGAGATATGGGTCAAGTTATGCCAATTTCAGGCTAAAAACAAAATTAATTTTATGTTGACAATACATGGATTTTTTGGCAAAGCATATTCACAGAACTATGTTTTAAAGGGGCCTGGAGACAGATTTGAAGTTAATATTTCCCAAAAACTTCTGTATAATATCATGAATTTTATGTTTCTTGATCATATCAGAAAGATATATAATAAGAGCATGTTTAGAAACCTCAGTTACCTTAAGATTATTAAAAATACGAATTTCGGGACGCGTTTGATTGCCACATATCCTGCACTTTCAAAAAGTTAAGGTTTTCTTTAATGTTTCTAAAAAAAAGTGGAACATTTGTTGTGTATAAATAAAAAAAAATTAAAACTCTGATCCAGAAAATTCAGAGTAGAAATGTAAGAAAAGAAAACCAACATATCAATGTTGTCAGCTCGTGTTCAGTGATGTGTGCAGTTAGCAAAACGAACACACCTGGTAAAATAAAAACATGAACAATAAAAGAGCTTGTCGCCATGTTTAGAAACACGAATATGTGGATTCCACATGTATTTTTTTTCTGATGTGTGGACAACTTCGGCATTCAATACACCGTAACAAGGATGGAGAGATCAAAATTGAAGAATTTTCTTTTGACCTCACCAATCCAAATTCAAAGGGAAAATCAAAATCCCCGCTAACATTGAAGAATTTGATGTAGTAGCTGTTGCAATAGCTCTTCCATTACTTGTAACTTACCCGAAGGCCTAGAATAATACAGGGGTTTTGAAATATAAATCACATTTACGTAAAAGATAGTGATTTCAAAAATGTAAATATAAGCACTGAATTATTATCTTTTGAAAAATTTAGTCTCATAACTGCAACGGTGTGTGCAAACAAATTTTCAGAACGCGCAATCAATTTGTTGGCACACAATTCAAGGAAGAATCAATTATGCCTATCCAATACTTTAATAAATAGGTAGCATCTCTTTTTTTTTTAATTTTAACATTGGGCTTGTGAATCTTGGGGATTGTTGAAATAAACTCGTTTGAATGGATAATTATTTTCATAAAAGTCAATTGTATTATTCATTTTAACTTGAAATTATATTGATAATAACTCTTATGATAAATATTCATTTTTTGCTTACCATCTTACTATTCGCGTTTTTTTCTTTAACTATAATATTTTTATAATATTTGAAAAAAAGCAGATGACTGCCTTTTTATTTATCTATTTCTTTAATGATGCTATATAATTCGACACATGCGTTTCTTGCCAAGATTTGGAAATAACATTATATTGAGGTGTGACGACACGTTCCTCAAAATATGTTTTGTTTTTCTTGGTATTATATCACAAATTATTCATACCTGTCATTCTTTTGTGATTTTTAAATTGTTTTCAATATGTTTTTAAAAATAGGTACACCAAATATTGTGACATTGGCGATTCAAAAGATTACCCATAAGGATAATATCAGAAATATTACTCTCTGGTATCTTGCCCAAATGTCTGGTAAGGCACCTCAATGTTTTGTGAGGAAACATGTTTAATCAGCAATACTTCAATTGCAAATTCTTGGGTAAAATTATATATTTTTGAGGAACGTGTTGTCTGACACGGGGTGTTGTCTTCACACCCCGTGACTTGTGACGTTTATCAGAAAAATACTTTTACTTCCGGTTTTATATAGTTTGTGCACTGACGATTTAACTGGCACCGCCTGTAAGGGAGTCTTACAAGCTCTGTAACAGAGTATTGTGAAAAGTTGATATTTTTGCACACTGATTTGTGCGCTTCATTTATACCTATCTCATTCGGTGTTTATAAATATTGATAAAAAGTGTACATTTCTAGTTTTGCTCATTTATATCTTTCCAGTTCAGTTGCCAATAATGACTGAGTAACTGGAGTATGATGACGTATGCGGAAACTTACCAAAGTTTTTGAGTCCTAGGTAACAGGAAAGATAACTCTAAAAAGAAACTTTGATGCCACATATTTTGAAAATATTTTTTTCTAAATCAATAAATTTGATTTTAATTCAATTTTTTGTTGTAATTTAATTCGTTTTCGTTTCTTCTATACTATCAGGAGTCTTCCCTAATTTTTCCCCATGTATTTTGGAGTATATGAGTTATATCTATTTTTTTTTAATAGCTTTTATTAATTTCTTTGAAAAATATGTTGACTGATAAAATTAATTTTTAGTGGTCATTTTCTGGGCTTAATAATATATTCCAGGAAAACACAAAATTTGTTGTGCTACTTATAAAAAACCATCATATGGGGAAAAATCTTAAAACTTATGAAATTAATTTTTTTAAAAAATCAGTATTAATTATATTTTAATTCTTGGCCAGTTTTAAAGTTTGATATGCTTGTTAAAATTGCAATGTCAGCGATCTTGACAGAGATGAAAATAAGAATTTCAAATCTACGGTCCATATATTTTCATGGCGATAATGTCGAAAGAGAATAAGATGTAAATACGATATCGTTTCAACTATTCGTATATAACTTAGTCGACAATATTGAACTTGTCAGGTTAACTGGACATGAATACATGTATAGTCTCCTTTTATTACGAAAATTCAAATTAATCAAGTTATATAAAATAAAAACATAAGATCATACCTATCCAGTAGTTCTTAGAGGCGTCCCCAAATCCATGTTTATAGTCTATCCATGTCCTGTAAAAATCAACGTCACCATCTTGTCGTTTCTGAATGACCTGTAAACAATGCTAGATTTTTATTATATTGCTTCTTGTTAAAGTAAGGAAACACGAATCATTGTTATACTTTCCTTAATTATCTGTAAATTTTCGAGCGAGTATATATGCCAGTGTATACTATTTTGTGATGTAGAGGTGTTATGGGACAAAATTGAGTACTATAGAATTGTTTAAGCATTTATCATTGGCATTATGTACACATGTTAAAGACTTTATAAACCAATTCCGAATCAAAAACTTGTGGGTTGTTACTTTGTTTTTTTTTCTCTGCCCTCGAGTACAGTAACACCTCCGAATTACAGACTAAAATTCAACTGCCTTTTGTTATGTAAGGGTTTATTCCTTAATGTTTAGCAAATGCTTTTATCAAGAAAAGTGGTGGTCTTTCGATTGCGATTCCTTAGTTATGTGCTAACACACAGTTAACACATCACAGTTAGCAAGAGATATATGAGGGTTGTTCGGAAAGTTCGTGGACTATGCCAATCTTCGTTATACGATCTTCAAGAAATTTGAAATGAGCACATTATCATGTGTAAAAAATATTTATTTTGTTTAAGTGTGAATTTTCATTCCATGTGATTTAATAGAATTCATGTTATTTAATTTTAAAATCAACACGTTTTGTAACCACGGAGCAAACTCAACAACACTGTAACATCAAAAACATACCGACCTGAGGTTCTCAAAAAATACTTTCCCTATATATTTCACACAGTATTGCCCAATACCAGTGCACTCATTAAAAAAGTTTCTCTATCACTTGAAATCTATTTTGCTAGCAATTGTCCCAGTAGCATCATTTTGTTTGTCAATGTTATATTTTTTTCACTGCATAAGTTTGCTTTCACAAGATCAGCATCTGTGAAGCGCCAAACTCGTAGCATGACGTTACTACCCTTTCAATGTTTTTGATAAGATTTTTACAGATAATCCGTTTTCTCACAGATCACCATCGTCTAAGCAGAGTAGTCTATCACTCAAATACCGCTTGTACCATGTACACACACATGCATGACTCGCTTTCGACATATTTCCTGCTTCCTCCGGCATTTTCAGAGTTTTTTTCTGGAATTTTCCAGAGTACAACACAAAATTGTATGGTTAACTTCTGCTCCGTGACGTTCTACGACGTCATCTTGTTTGCCTTTTTCCATGAGGACTACCTATCTTCTGAAACTGATTTATTTTCAACGAAGCAAAGTATCAAGTCATAATATGGAACCAAAAACGATGAAACAATTCTTAATTTGAACTTATAGAATTTTTCCGTTTTTGTGTCATTTTACAGAAGATATGACTTCAGACATTATTTAGTGTCTTGGTTGTAAATTACAAAATTTTGACTTGCTCCGTGATCCGATTTTCGCATTTTTTAAGTCTAAATAAGTTTGAAATAAACCACGATATTTTAAAAATGTTTAGTACACATCATTTGAATTTATATTTGAAATATTTCTTCCCAATTTGGATATAATGTGACGTTAAGTAAAAAAGTTATGACGGTAGTCCACGAACTTTCCGAACAACCCTCGTAATGTCATCATTATAACGTTTTGTTAAATTTGTTTTCATGATAACCTTTAGGACCTGCAACTGTCTTAAATTTCCTACAGTTAAAGTTAAAATACCTAATAAAAGGACGTTTTATTGAATATTCGGTAATCATTAAAAAATGAAATCACTTCTCACCGTCCACCCTCCTCCATCTGTCGTCATGTCACAGAAAACATCTCTCCGGGTGTCAGGGTAAATAACGTACACCCCATTTTGTCCTTTCTTGCCGGGGTCTCTTTTCACAATATCTGAACAGTCTTTATAAATTTTTTCTATTCAGTATAAAAAAATCAATAATCAGTATAAATGTCTTAATATTAACAAAGCGTAAAAAGATTACCATTTGAAACGTCTCGATGAGAATTTTATTATAAATGTACATGTATTTCAACTAGTCTTTAACTTTAGATGGAATAAAAATTATTGAATAAACAAAACGCATTGGTTTGTTGGTCATGTCAAGAGTGGCAGTATTGGATGATAGGTTGTATTTGCTGACAAGGTCATTGTATCGACCAAAAAACTTGCGAACTGATGACTTCAAACAAGACTCTTGATATCCTTGTTTCATCAACTTGTTTGTCAATTGCTTGCCTCGTTTAAGAAATTGTTCGTACGTAGAGCATGCTCTTGCGTAGCGACTCAACTGGGACACCTTGAATCAATATGCAGGTGATAAGGGTAAATTTCTACATAAATAAGGGAAGTGGAAGACAGAAAAGTTGAAGTCATCATGTTATCATCAAGTATTGTTGGTAGGTAACCATTAACGTCTTTTTCTAGGAAAATATCTAAATATGAAACGGATGTGTCGGACGCTGTGGTATCTTTAAGCTCAAGCACACTAGGTTATATCGTGTGGAAATAGCTATTGTTATTTGATAATATGTCGTCGATACATCTAAATGTCGAATTGAATGCCATAGCAAGTGTTTCTTTTCTCTTGTATGATATTTTGAACCAGTTCTGCTTCATATGAATACAAAAATAAGTCTGCTAATAACGTGGCGCAATTGGTACCCACAGGAATTCCAACAGAATGTTGGAAGACCTGGTCTCCAAAAACCACATAGATATTGTGAATGAGAAACTCAAGAATCTTTTTAATGTTAATTTCGAAGTACTTGTGTATACAATCATACGGTTTTTTAACCAAATAATTATGTAAATGACCTCTGACAAGATAAATAAATTTACTAGTCCCATTTTTATTGAAAAAGTAGCCGTCAATGATATCAAAAAGCCTGGACTTTAATTCATCGTGGGGAATGGCTGTTGAAAATTTGAAAGTTGGAATTTTTAGATATGCACAGCTGATTTACACCACTTCTCCAATATATTGATGCACAGTTCTCCTGACGTGTCTCCTTCACTACCGTTCATATTTTAGTGAAGAGTAAAGACAGAGGCTTGGTAGAACATTTACTGGAACCCACTATGTATCTGATAAACGTGATGACTTTAGCTTTTCAATCGTCAACTTCCCTTACTTATGCAGCAAAATACCCTTATGACCTGCACACTGGATTTATATCTCTCAGTTGATTCGATACGCAAGAGCATGTTCTGCGTATGAACAATTTCTAAAACGAAGTAGGTTATTGACAAAGAAGTTTATGAAAACAGAATGTTAGCAGTCTCTAATCAAATACTGACTGACGTTTTTCATACTAATTGTTAAGCCATTATTTTTACACAGAATTATCGATGCATTTTTCCGTTACTTCCCGATCATGACAAAGAGCACACTGCGGATGTGACCGGTCGGCAAGGGATACTCACTCCTCCATGGCAACTGATCACACCTTTGATGTTTTAGAGGTCCGTGTTTGCTCTGCTCCTGATTTGTATTGTTTGAATGGACTTTTGAGCTTGAATACTGTTCTTTATCTCCATATATTTCATTGAATAAATACTCCAATGTCTCTGATATTGATACAGTTTTAGCAGCATATTCTTCAGTAAAACGTGGCGGTTTAAAAAGCTTTTAATTTGCAATATTCATAATCGCAGATGCCAGCCTTATTCAAACTTCACCCTGAACAACAGAGTCAAACTATTTTTTCAAGAATATAATTTGGTATTCGTGTATCTTGAGGTTTTTCTAAAATTTGCAAGAGAATTTGTTTTTCTATAGGAAAGCATTTATAGAAGTACATTAATAAGCTCAATTCGTAAAACACGATAATCCCATTTCGATTTACTGTTGCTTTATGATTAAAGTATCTTTCAATGTTTTCCCCTCAAGTTTATTGTTTCATCTAATGTAATAAACAAGCTTGTTCAGTTGTACAGTCTTATTATACGACATACAAAACTTTGACAATAAAATACTCATCTTTTCAATCTCATACAAACAAACGACATAACCAGGATGATTATAATCTTTATAAAGCATTATAAAAGTGGTATGTAAGCTTACTTTTAAAAGACATTTCCTACAGTAAATCTAACTGAAGTTATAGCTTACCTTCTAAAACAGGAACACATTTCCCAGCAATACAGATGTCATTCTCAGTACAGGAATGATTCAGACATTTGCCTGCCAAGTGCTGAAATTAAATAAACTCATAGTTACGATTCCTTAATTATGTGATTCAATACATTCTTATTTAAATGTTTCAAGATTTCCTTCTTACCGATGAGAAATTTTCCCGTTCGACATGAAAGATTTGGTCTTTAGTCACTAGACTACCTTCACTCTTGATGCCAAATTTTGTGTTAAACCGGCATGTATTTTCTTTTTGTATCCAATCCACTGAGCGACACAACTTAAACTTGAAACAAATCATTATGCACGTTGCGATGTCAGCACTGGTCAAAAGCTTAAAACCAGGGAATGAGGAATTTTCATAATTGCTAATGAGCAAAGTTTTTGGATCGAATGGATCGAAGCACTGAGAGATGCAAGTCTGTAATAGACCTAGAATTTGTCCAAAAAGGTAGAGACTGATCATTGTAAGACTTACAAACAGTTTTTTTTTAAACGATATATTTGTCAAATTAAACGGTGGGTTCTACCAGGACAATCATATGCTTCTATTGTCTTCCCTTCTGTTATATATAGCAGTCCTTAAGATCTGCCTATTCATGATTAATGAGGTCTCACATGATCGTTTTCTGGTAGATCTGTTCAATGGTTAAAACAATATTATTGATTTAAATTTGTTTAATGAATTGAGTGAATTAAAAAAAAATCTAGTTTAAAAGTAATCATAGATAATCGAAACATATATGTAAATATATTTTCTTTTTTATGTTCTATAAAGGAAGCAAGAAAAAAGATGTATTTTCTTTTATAGTATTTCAGTTTTAAGCAGTCTCGTTTAAAGTCATAATTTCATAAGTTCTAAAACATCAGTGGTGGGATCAGGTGCCATGGAGGAGTGAGCATCCACTGCCGACCGGTCACACCCGCCGTGTGCTCCTTGTCATGATCGGGAAATAACGGGAAAATCCGTTGACAATTCAGTGTGTAAATAATGGCCTAACAATTAGTATGAAAAACGTAAGACAGCCTTTGACTTAATGATTGATTGTATTTGCTGACAAGGTCATTGTATCGACTATAGAATTTCCGAAATGATGACTTTTAACGAGACAGCTAATATTCTTGTTTCATCAACTTATTTGTCAATAATTTACCTCGTTTTAGAAATTGTTCATGCGCAAAGCATGCTTTTGCGTATCGAATCAATTGAGAGATGTAAACCCCGTATGCAGGTGATAAGTGTATATTACTGCATAAGTAAGGGAAGTTGACGATTGAAAAGTTAGTCATCACGTTTATCATAAAGCTTGGTTGTTATATTACCATTAACGTCTTTGTCTAGTAAAATATCCAAATATAAAACAGATGTGTCAGACTCTGTGGTATCTTTTATTTCAAGCCATCGGAATTTATCGTATCGACATAAGAATGGAAACAACAATTGTTAATTGACAATACGTCGTCGATATATCTAAATGTCGAGTTGAAGGCTACATAAATACAACAAGCTATTCAGAGAATTTGTGTCCCCCGTGTGCATTGTCTTAACCGAAATTCCCGTATAAAAAAGTATTTCCTTGTTTTAGTTTGAGAGTTTAATTTGTTTTAACTGTATAACCACCTAAATATATTTTTATCGTCTTCTTAAGGATATACGATCCTCATCCAGGAAGGATAACTCCTAAATTTATTATTTTATTCAAAAAGTCCCAAAATGAAGCTTGAAATTGAGATCTTTTCGTGCAACAATTTTCATTTTATGCATCTTAATATGATTCAAGGTTCTGTGAAGTCTTAGAAACTGTCTTGTAAATAGTTGACATTTGCACCCCATAAAAGAAAAAAATGAATTCATTTTCAGAGAAAAAATCGAATTTTCTTTATTCTAGCATTAGATACCACTGCTTTTTTAGCATGATATGAAATTAGATGTCATATGTGATGTCTAGCAATGATAGAACAAGCTTTTTACACTATGTATTTTTTGACAAGTGAAGTTAAAAGAAGAACTAAAAATACTGTACAAGCAAATAAAAGAAGCAATTTTCTCCAAATGCCTGGATACCTATAATTTTCTATCCTAAATTATATTTGTTGAACAATTTTCAATTAGAAAATGCATAGCTGGTGTTTTTATTTGCATTTCCTGAAAATATATTTGAGATTTGATTATTTTCCCTATATAATATGATTAACTATAATGATAAACTTTGAAGAAATGGTAAATTCACATTATTATGTGATATCAGAGACGAATTTGTGAGCATTTTCAATTACTTAAAAGCTGATTTTTAGAACCTGAGGATCGGACTACCTTAATTAACTTATCTTGATTAATTTCATAGGGTCGAGGCCTCTGCTTGTGAACTGTTAGTCCCCTGGGGTATCTACAGCCCAGGAGCTAAGTACTTCGATACTAGCTTGAAAATACGGATAAATATTTAATTGCTCTGGTAAAATTTAGAAATGTATTTGAAAATTAAGGAATATCTCCCACATGCATATTGAATTAGTAATTTTTTTTTTATCATTTTAAGTATCTTTTTTTCAGAATTTTGCTGAAAACCCCAGAGAATAGGACAGACGAGTAAGTTAAATTTAAGTACAAACTGAAATGATGAATTTTACTTTGTTGTAGATATACAACTTCCTTTTTTCGCGCTTTTTGTCCTCCGTCCGTCTGTATTTCTGTCTGTCTGAAACACTTTCGTTTCCGCGCGATATCTGGAGAATCCTTTGAGCTTTTGCAATGACATTTACATAACTATGTGGCCTATGGAAGACCCCTATTGATTTTGAGGTCAAAAGGTCAAAGTTCAAGGTCGTAAATTCATACATCCCGTCTGTATGTAACACTTTTGTTTCCGGGCGATATCTCAAGAAGCTTTTTAGTTTTTGCAATGAAATTTTATAACATAACTCCCTAGGGCCTCTCTCGCCCCTCTCAAAGTGTCCCACCCCGTTTTTTGTTTATTATTATTATTGTTTATTGTATAAAAAGTCGCTTGACACTATTTTAGCACAGGGGCATATAGAGAGATATTATGTATAATACAGGTTGTCGGCGGACTTTATATTCTTATAACATCTTTTAGAACTGTTTAGTAAAGGCTAAATTAGACACCATGTATTGTGTAAAATTTTTCACAATATCGAAGGTGAATATAAACATTATATGTGACCTTATGTTTGCATTTTAATTGCTGTATAATCAACTACCTCCGTGGTCTAGAGGTATGACTCTCTCCTAGCAATGTGAGAGGTCCCGGGTTCAAATCCTGGACGATTCTTTTTTTCAATTTGATTTTTTTTTTGGGGTGGGGTGGGGGTTACTAAATGATAGTATTCAGCATGTGAAATGAAAAAAATTATGACGTCTGGCTTGTAAAAAACTCATAAAATCATTATTACAGTGTGATAAATATTCTATATAAAAAGAATCTTCTATACACATATTAAAGAATATGCAATCAAATCTTTATTGTCCATATTGGCATTTTCTATTTGCTTCAATATACATGTATACATTTAATAATTCTACAAATCCGGGGGTGGGGGGGGTGGGGGGGTTCGACCCCCCCCCCCCCCGAACTGCGCATGCTCTTCTTTTTTTCCCTAAGCGGAGGACACAAATTCTCTGAATTAGCTTGTTTCAGTTCATTTCTAAACATGATTGATTTATCTATGTTTGTGTTTCTTTCTTTGAAGTAGTTGATTCTGGAACTGGAGAGTAAACTTCATCAGGAATATAAGAGACATCTGGAAAGACTGTTTATAAAAAAAATAAAGACATTTTTTTTCTTTTGTAACTATAAATGATTTTTTTAATGTTTAGTTAAGGAAGAACAAAGTTCACTTAGGGCCTTTTCTGGCCCTGTGAATTTCTGAAAAATCAAAACTGCTCAGTTTGAGTTGAAAATATGTTAAATTTTACTTGGACCCTTGATGACCTCATGTCAATTAAAAATGACGTTATGTTCTCTCTATTCCACGTATTGTGACGTCATGAATTGAGTCTTTTTCCTCAAATCTTGAAAAATTCTTTAAAAATGGCCAAAAATTTAAGTGTTTTTCAATATTTAGCATAAACCCTAACCTCGGATTTAAAATGTTTAAAAATATAATGAAAGAACTGTTTCAGAAGATTTTTAACGATGATTTTTTCTTTGGATCGGGGGTCGGCTCATAATATAATTATTAGCTTAAGATGCTCAAATTCATCTATTTTCGTCAAAATTCAAGAATATTGCAATTTCACAAAGCCTATTTTGCAATACCTGAACTCTCAAAGGAAACTTTTTTTTATTGGAAATGAAAGCAATAAATATCTACTTTATACTGATATTTAAAATGGAACATTGGGACTCCGTCAGTTAATACGTATAGGAAAAAAGCCATTTTATGGTGTTAGTGATCCTAGCTCTTTACAACTTTGTTGTAGACATTATTAAGCCTATGAAAAACATACTTATTTCCATTTAAAAAAAAAACATGTAAGTGTCCTTTTGTTTTTAAGGCGTCAAAACAAGAGATTGAACATCACTTTGGGGGAATTAAATACATGTGATCACAAAAAAAAAAAAAAAAAAAAAAAAAAAAAGCAGCACATTCTTCGTACATACATAGATACCTAATGTAATTCTTTTTACATATGTTGACAAAAAATAATCGGTGCTAGCACAAAAAAGATCCCTCACTGCTTATTTGCCCTGAGTGCCGAGTATATGTCTAGCATTTTCTGCGCTCCACCAGCAAGTGGTAGCGTCTCAATAATTCTCGAAAGGGACGTTAAATGAAACAAACAAAACAGGCAAATTCTTTCATTTCAGATAACCGACCGCTTCTGGTGGCTGGCAATAAATGAAAGCTGATCTAAAAAAAATTGAATTCTCTTAATGTTATTTTCTTAATCAAATCACATATCACAATCTATCTTTTATTTTGAAAAGTCAACTTTTTGCTATCTTCATGACACAATCAGATGTAATTACTCTTACAATTAACCGAAACTCTACATCTTTACGTTTATAATTTTGCTTAAACATTTCAGAAAGATCATTTTATTAATACACTAAATGATTTTTTCCAAAAAAATTAGATTTATTCAGTCAGAAAAAAGAGATTTTACATGTATGACAAAACTCCTGCATTATTTAATCTTTAATATAAGGACCATTTTTTTTAGAAAAAAAAATTTTCCCTCTTTTTTTTCCAAAGTCGTTAATTATAAAGATGTTAATAATGACTGTACTTTTTAGGTAATAACTCTTTTCACGATTACTGTTTGTAATAATCATTTGA